GCTGAAGTATCCTTTATCAGATTTTGCAGATAGCACACAATAAGGAAATTTTGTATTGCTGGCCTGAAAATGTTAACAGAGTTTCCAGATAAGCTCTCCTTTTTTCCCAGAAATACCTCATGTACTAAGAGACCATATTTCAACATGTTTTCTGCTACTTAGGGAGAAACTCCTCTATAAATTCAAAACATTAGTTTTGTCATTCATGCTGTTGTGGGTGCTTTAAGGACAAAGCATAGGAAAAACAGCTAGAAACCTATAAAACAATATACTATATTCAAGATAAAACTTGACTACAGTTTAGGGACATCAGAAACTTTCTTCAGAGAAAACTCCAGTAAAACATTTTACTTTTCCTTCCTTCTCCATCTCCACCCACTGACAGTACAAGTCATGAAAAATCCATCCACGTGGACTGTTAGAAGTCAGGGCATGTTATTTACCTTGAATGCTTTTGGACCTATGCCTGAAGAGGTGATATTATTTTTGCTCAGATCAAGCCTTTCCAAATTCGGTAATCCATTAAATGCTTCGTCCGGAATGGAGGTGATAGAATTGCCTAGGACACATAGCAGTTGTGTTTTAGGCCTATGTGCCTATAAATACATGTATACATGCACATGCATAGATAGCAAAAGAGAGCTTTATCTGGAGGAAAAGCAATACTTACAGCAAGGACAATATGTATTATATAAGAAAATGAGTGTTTAGAAAAAAAACAAGACTGGGACTACACTATTTCATATGGTCAAAATTTTCACTCTAAGGACTTGTCATGCTCTAGTACATCATGTTTTAGATGAAGCTGCTTTAAAACAGCCAGAGTGTGGTTTGGTAGACAATTCTGTTAACATTATGCATTTTACAACAAAGATGTGTTTATGGAAGGTGCTATAGAAACTGATTTTTATAGTTCTTCATATTTCCCTATTGACATTTCCTAGACCCTGGACCAGAAATATACTGTTTTTTACAATGAAATCTTGGGCATGTGACTTGCCTTCTTTGAGCATCAGTTTCCTCTAAGTAAGAAGCTTGGGGAGATAATCTCTCAGATTGCCTCCAGATCTTATGTTATAATTCTGTGACTTCAATCTATAGAAGTTCCTGCATGCTTTAATTTATGGGGTTTTGGTTTGACATTTAATTAAGTACAGTAGTCAATGATTTTTAAAGCCAGAAAATGAGCTTATCAGAAATAGTGAGTACTATAAAAATCATGTGGTGACCTTCTTATAAAACCAAGATACTGTGACTGAGCACAGGTCATTCATCTTTCATAAGACTTTAGACTTTCACAAATTGTTTTGTTTTGTTTTCATGGCAGAGCACACCTGGCATGCAGGCTACAGAAGGAGGGGGCATTGCTGGAGCAGGACACTCTGGGCATGAGAAGAATTCCTTAGGAGGTCATGTGAACATGGTATCAGGAAGGCCATAACACCAGAAATGTCCTATTGCAGATTGGCTATCCTGATTAAAGGGGTCATGCTGTGACCATTGAGTATTTATTTTTATGATCATTTATTATTTCTGTGGTAGTTTATTTCTGTTACTTCCCCCAAGACACATCTGAAACCCCACTCAGATTCTCTCACCCCTGCATCTTCAGAGCTATCCCCAGCATGGGCCTTATTGCCAAGACTCATTCACTGTCCCAGTCTCCCCACAAGCCAGCCTCACACATGTATCTGTCCTGCCATTCCTCCACTCAGAGCTCTTCCTGGCCCTATAAGAATGTGGGCAAAAAGTCTGGACCACTCCATGCCTACCACAATGGCTAAAACAAGGGGGAAAAACAACAGGAACTCTCTGATATTGCTGGTGTCACAGCCATTTTAAGGAACTGTTTGGTAGTTTCTTATAAAGTTAAACATGCTTTTACTGTAGCACTCGGCAATCCCACTCCTGGATATATACCCTAGGAAAAAGAAAACTTAGGTCGGCACAAACATCTATATGTGGATGTTTATAGCAACTGTATGCATAATTGCCCCAAACTGGAAATAATCCAGATGTTCTTCACCTGAGACCTGTGGTCTGTCCAAACAACAGAACACGCCAGCTACTGATAAACGCCACAACCTGCATAGCCCTCAGAAGCATTATGATAAATGAAAGAAGTCCAGCTAAAAAGGCTACATGCTGTATGATTCCATTTCTATGACATCCTAGAAAAGGTACTCTAGAGACAGAAAACATCAGGGCTGGTGAAAGGAGGGACATGAGAGAATTTAGTGAGGTGATGGAAATGTTATATCTTGATTGTGGTATTGACTGTAAGCATTTGTCAAAACTCAAAGCATAACAGGGACTTCCCTGGCGGTCCAGTGGTTAAGACTTCACCTTCCAATGCAGGGGGTGCGGGTTTGATCCCTGGTTGGAGCTAAGATCGGACATGAGAGAATTTAGTGAGGTGATGGAAATGTTATATCTTGATTGTGGTATTGACTGTAAGCATTTGTCAAAACTCAAAGCATAACAGGGACTTCCCTGGCGGTCCAGTGGTTAAGACTTCACCTTCCAATGCAGGGGGTGCGGGTTTGATCCCTGGTTGGGGAGCTAAGATCCCACATGCCTTGCGGCCAAAAAAACAAAACGTAAAGCAGAAGCAATATTGTAACGAATTCAATAAAAACTTTAAAAATGGTCCACATCAAAAAAAAATCTTAAAAAAACCCTCAAAGAATAACATGATAATAGTGTTTTGCTATATATGAATTATACCTTCTAAACCCAGCTTTAGAAAAAAGTCAATGGGAAATCATGGCTTGATTTGGAGGAATTTACTTTATACCTGACGGTGCTATTCTGCAGTAAACACCTATCTCTTCTGCAAAGTTTTTATGTTTGAAGATTGTGAAATTAATCTGTTTGGGGTCAACTTATATTATAAAATTAAAATATAGCATTCATAGGACAATGGGAGTTACCCACAAAATCAGTTTAATGTCAACATCTCTTACCTATGAGCTCCAGACTTGTTATCTCTGGTGCTGTTAGCGGTGGTATTTGTGTGAGGTCGGCGCTGATACAGGAGATGGTTTTGTATGACAGAGAGCACCTGCTTGGCAGAGGTGGTATGCCTCTGGGGGTAGCTGGGATTGGGAGTTGAGAGGGCATCCTGAACATATCTCCTCTGACGGCGTCATCATCGTCCTCGTCCTCTTCCTCATTCTCCCTTGCTGGGTTTCTGTGTTGATGGGCCTGCCTCCCCTCCTCTCCAGGTCTCTGCTCTCCCCCTTCTCTGCTCTGTCCCTCATTGGGAGGTCTCCCCCAGTGTCCAGGTCTAGGGATCTTTTCCTTTTGCTCCCTATCTTCATCTTGTTTAATTTCTTCTTCTTCCTCCTCAAATTGAAGTTCCTCTTTTCTCAGTGCTTGATGCATTTCCACCCAAGGAGACGGCTGAAGTAAACTGGTAGGTTCTCTTTGTTCTGAAGAATCACCAGAAAATTCAGTTCTGTCATTTAATGCTATACTACTGAGTAGCAAATAGGAGGCTACTGACCACATAAGGAGAAGACAGCAGGGGCAAGTTGTGGTATTAATGAAAGGAAAAATCATAGTGAAAATTAGGTTAGTAAATAACATTCCCTGTAGGTATATGAGTGCAGTTTAAATGTGAAATGCATCTTGAAATTTTTGTTTGAAGTTTTAACAGAAATAAATAAACTTTATTTCTGTTTTGTAAGACTTTATAGGCAATTCTTGTTTTTCCTTGTGAGCCTTAATACTTATTTTTACTAAAGTATCATGCTATCTGGTGACTAAAGAGGGAATAATATTACCATATGTTGCTTACATAAGCAGTCCTATTGTGAGATTGTAATATAATCAGATGTGATAACTTTGTAGTAGATACTGTTCAGTTAATTGGGCTTATTGATAATGTAAGAATGTGTACACAGACATAAAAAAGTGAAAGAGATGTACATTTTACTTGTTTATGGTAGTGAAATTGGCTTTTATTTATAGATTTATTATATCTGTCTGATTTTCTTTCAGCTCCATGGGCCTAAAAGCATCCTCTGAAATTTAGAGTTAATAGAAAATCCTCTTCTGTTTTGCTCCCAGACTCTGTACTTAAATTATTTTTACTTCTTGAGACCTATAGAAGATGTCCTGGACTTAGATGTTGTTTCTTTAACCTAGACATATGCACAAGAGTACTTTTTATTATTCCATGATGATGATAGCATAATATATAATAGTAGAAAGTTTATCTACATTTATATTTAGCTGTTATTATCTTTGGCAGAAAGTGGGGAAGACTTGACAAAGACCAGACTTTAGACTCACCCTCTGAATGAAGAGTTTTAGGGAAAAGTGAGCTCAGTACATAGATTTTCTTTCATCAAAATATAAAAATTTACTTAATCATTTCCATGATTTTATTTAATGCCATACATAAATCACCCCCAAAAAAGAACTCAAAATATAATTATGTGAAGGAATTACTTGAGATTTCAATTCAGTATGTATTATAAAGTCTGTGAGTTATGTTTTTCACATCTCTGACAGAACATGCAAAAGGAGAGTAGGAAAAAATTAGCAAAATGAAACTAAAACTATCGTATTGAAACATTTAAAATCTTTTCTGTATATCCAAGTTTATTTTTCCAAAATAACCACAGCATTTCAAGAATAATAGTTCAAGTCCTTTGAAAAATGTCTGAGAATTTCTGGATCTTGCCTTTATAAATCTTCTGTTTCGTATCCCAGGGAGTCAGTTTCATTAAACACTTTTATTTTCTAACATTTTTTAAAGTCATAATAGCTTAGTAAAATAATTAGTAGTATACACCAAAATACAGTTCCTAAATGTTCTGAAGTTCTTCCTGGTAGGAGACTTTTGTAGGTAACCACCCTGTGATCATCCTGTGTGCATGGAAACAATCTACCTTGATCATAGGCAACAGAAAATATCTGTATCCCTTCCCATCGAATTATTTAGCACATATTTATTTATTTCATAAGCTATTGGCCAGGCTTTTCTTGCAGGAGTCCTGAGGCTTCCTCCCTAGAGTCCTCTACTGCATCAGCCTCATAGATAAGACACAGTGAGCAGCCAACAAAACCTCATAGTGTGATCTTTCTGTGCATAGCAGTGCCACAACAGAAAGCCACTGCTCCAGGGCCATTGCCCTTTATTTCCCTAGGATTACCTGAGCAGTAATGACTGCACATAGACTGGGAAAACTGGGCTTTATTCTCTCTAGATGCAAGCCACTCCTCCCTTTGTTCACCATGAGTTCTTCATCTTCATTTGGGTTGATAACTGTAAACACACTGAGTTGAATTAAGTGAGATAATGCATGTAAGGAACTAAGCAGAGTTCTTCACGCATACTAAGAACATGGGAGCTGTTTGCTATGTAAATTCTATCAGTACATCTGTAATGCTGCGAGTCAAATGTGGAATGTGATCTGGTCTGAGTTTACTCATTCTAATAGAGCTAGAACTCTAAAGCCAAGATGTTTTATTTTTCTCTCCCCTATCATGCAACTTCCCAAATAATTTCCATGTTTATCATCATTGTGCCAATATTTTAAGTACCCTGATGACTAGTTTATCATAATTTAAAATGTAAGGTAGTGACAAAATAAAAACAAATGGAAGTTAAAGACTAAATCACATGTGATATTTTGTTTGGGCTAAATATTTGTACCAGTATCAGAGCAGACGGGGCAGCATTCTCCTTCAGGTGTAACTGTTTGGGGGCACATCTGAGGGTGGCACTTGGTCTCATCACAAAGGACTCTTCCATTCGAGCAGAGGCAGGTAGTGCAGGGCTCAGGAGACCATACAGCTTTGTTATACATGGTCATCCCATTTGCCAAACAGTGTCCTTTCTTTCCTAGAAGAGAACAGTAACATTTAAAATCCTTGTATGGTTACTAGCACTTGTGAATGGAAGTGAGCCCAATGTGATAGACCCACACAAGAATAACATTCTATGTTCTTTCATGCAGAGGATAAAAGTATCTTACAGATGTAACCCTCTGAAATGCTTTTCACATGCTGTATTCTCAACCCCTCTAACTTAGGCTCTGAGAGTGACCTCCTAATGGTAACTTGAGCCTGAATCGTACTTCCATCCTGCATCTGTCAGGACGGCTAAGTTATACAACAGCAACAAACAACCCCCAAATCTCAGTTATTTCTTGTTCCTGCTATGTGTCCAATGTAGATATTGTCAGGATAAAAAATAGGCTTCATCTCCAAGCAGGCTGCCCTGATGGCCACAGCAGTGGGAATGTGAGGTTGCAAATAACACACAAGCTCTAAACATGTCTAATTACATTGACCAAGGCAAATTATATGGCTACATCTAACTTCAGAAGAGAAAAAGCAGTATAGTTCCATCACGTGCCAGAGAGCAGAGAGCTGGAACAGCACTAATGATGAATGAGCCCACATTGTACCCTTCCTGATGTGCAGATGGAGAGGTGAAATAAGACTGTATGCTTGTGGTGCTTTTTACATTGAATTCTCAATGAGACATTGCAACAATCTCTTTGTTTTAGAATAGTTGTGTTATTGAAATACAATTCAAATACCCTTTTAAAGTACACAGTGCAGTGGGTTTTAGTATATTGTTTTCTCTACATACAGTGTTGTAGATACATGGATAAGTGTGTCAACTAAGCAGGCCATTAGACAGTCAATTTGAATATTAGAGGGGATGTTTTCCTTCCAATCCTAGTGTTATTCCTGGTAACTCTTTTCCATCTGTTGAGCCACTGTCCCCGCAAATGAGCTCTCAAATTTGTCCCCTTCTTTCCCTTACTGCTGTGTCAGCCCTGTTCAAGCCCTACCCATCTCTCATTTGGATACTTACAGTAAACTAATCCCACCCATCCAATTTCTCCCCTGGAAAACAAAATAGATATAATCAGGAGTTGTCTCCTGATTATAAAAGTACTATAGTGTATCAAAATTCCAACAGCCTTTTTTGCAGAAATGGAAAAATTAATCCTTAATTTCATAAGGAATTACAAGGGGCCTCAAATAGCCAAAAAAAATCTTGAAAGAAAAAAAAATTTTGAGGGCTCACACTTCCAGATTTCAAAACTTACCACAAAGCTACAATAATCAGCTTATACCAGTATGGTACTGGCATAAGGATAAACATATAGACCAGTGGAATATTGAGAGTCCAGAAATAAACCCATTACATCTATGGCCAATTGATTTTTGACAAAAGTGCCAAGCCCATTCAATGGGGGAAAAAGTTGTCTCTTCAACAAATGGTGCTGGGACAACTGTATATCCGTATGCAAAAGAATGAAGTTGCCCCCTACCTCATGCCAAATATAAAAATTAACTCAAAATGGATCAAAACCTAAATATAAGATGTAAAATGTAATATTCATAAAATAAAGCATGACCTTGGATTTGGCAATGGATTTTTAGATATGATTCTGAAAGCACAAGCAACAAAAGAAAAAATAGATGAATTGGACTGTATCAAAATTTAAAATTTGGTCCATTGGAGAACATTGTCAAGAAAGTCAAAGGACAATGTACACAATGAGAGAAAATATTTGCAAATCATATCTGATAAGGGTCTGACATCTTGAATATACGTGAAGAACTCTTACAACTCAACAACAGAAAGCCAGCCCAATTAAAATATGGACAAAGGACTTGAATAGACATTTCTCCAAAGAAGATATACAATGAACAATAAGCACATAAAGAGATGCTGAGCATCATTAGTCATTAGGGAAATACAAATTAAACCACAATGTGATAACCACTTCACATCCACAAGAATGGCTGTATTTTTTAAATGGAAAATAAAGGCAAGGATGTGGAGAAATTGGAGTCTTTGTATATTGCCGGTGGGTATATAAAATGATATAGCTTCTGTGGGGAACATTTGGCAATTTCTCAATAAATTAAACATATAATTACCACATGGCCCAGCTCCTAGGTACCTGATATTCCACTTCTAGGTATATACCCAAGGGAACTGAAAACGGGAATTCAGATAGAAACTTGTACACAAATGTTCGTAGCTGTGCTATTCACAGTAGCAAAAGGTGGAAACAACGCAATTATCCATCAATGGATGAAAGGATAAACAAAACATGGTATTTCTCTGCAATGAGATATAATTCAGCCATAAAAAAAGAATGAAGTCCTGACACACTGTACAACATGCGTGAACCTTGAAAACATTATGCCAAGTAAAAGAAGTCAGACACCAAAGGCCACATATTATAGGACTCCTTTTATATTAAATATTCAGAATAGGCAAATTCATAGAGACGGAAAGATTAGTGGTTGCCAGGGACTGGGGGGAGGAGAAAATGGGGAGTAAGTGCTTAATATATATGTAGTTCCCTTTTAGGGTGAAGAAAGTGTTCAGGAACGAGATAGTGGTGATGGTTGCACAACATTGTGAATATACTTAATGCCACTGAATTGTACACTTTTAAATGGTTAAATGATAAGTTTTATGTCATGTGTATTTTACTACAATTTTTTTTTCTTTTTTTCTTTTCTTTTTCTTTTCTTTTTTTTTTGCGGTACGCGGGCCTCTCACTGTTGTGGCCTCTCCCGTTGCAGAGCACAGGGTCCGGACGCGCAGGCTCAGTGACCATGGCTCACGGGCCTAGCCGCTCCGAGCATGTGGGATCTTCCCGGACCGGGGCACGAACCCGTGTCCCCTGCATCAGCAGGCGGACTCCCAACCACTGCGCCACCAGGGAAGCCCACAATTTTTTTAAAAAGTACTGTAAGACCACTGGAAAACATCTTAGGACAATTTAGAAATCTTTCGTATATATCTTCTATACCTTTTAATGCACATCACCCTATGCTGCATATTTTTTAAAACAGATTTGAGATCACATTATGCATACTACTTTTCAACCTTTTTATTTTCTATTATTATAGCTTGGATATCTTTCCACTTAATTAGGGAAACTGACCTCATCGTTCTTTAAGAGTTATGGGTACACTATAATCATCATTTTAAATTCCCTGCCTCCAGGCTCTTTCTTCTCTCAATCATTTTGTAAATGTGACCTAAACTGTCTCTTTTCACGGTAATTGTATGTTATTTCTGTTAACTTCATGGAAATAACATCATTTAGAAGCATTTGGTTTTCTTGAGACAATGTATGAAGTATTGGTCACAGAACATTATGTGGTGATACATTCTTTTGTCTTTTGAAAGTTTTATGTAATGGTACCATATGTATAATATAATTACTTTTTCCTTCCAAACCTGGAAAAATGTGGACCATTAAATATTAGTGTTTAAAAATGCCTAGTTGAAATCTTTGGAAGAATTTCCAATCTTTTCAAACTTTAAAAATTCATTAGTTTGGTCTATATAAAATAAATTCAGTGGCTTAACTTCATGTTTGGTTGAAAATATTTAATAGCCATGAGTTCATAGACTCATCTGAATCACTTATTTCTATATCCTAGATGATCTATCATGATAAATGAAAAAGCAGTTTTGACATGTATATTACTATATTATGATTACAACTATTTTAAATACATGGCATAGTAAACAGACTAGAAATAATAAACCAAAATAGTAACTATGATTTTATAAATGTAGTTATAGGATAAGTAATATTTTTTCTGTTTTACAATAATTTGTATTATAAGTATATTCTGTAAATGGTTTTTTTAATTATTTCAAAATTTATCTTTGTAGATTAAACCAAAAGATAATATAGTAACTTGAATTTTTTAAAAATTTTCTTTTTGGAGTTTCTCTCTCTTCCTCTCTCCTACTGTTTTCTTACCTGGTAACACATTATAGCTTGATTCTACTCCAGGAAATCTTAAAAAGGATTCAAACTTTTCCTCCGTACTATAATCCAAGTTAACCATGGGAAGTGTTGCTGCTGGTGTAACTATCCTCATTTGCTGAATTCCAAGCTGTCTGCTGGATCTGTGGATGGGTGAGGAACTTTTTCTCTGTCTTCTATAATACATCTTCCTTCTTTCCTTCCTAGAAGTTTCTTCATTTTGTCCAAAGTCAGTTTGAATAATGAGAAGGAGAAGAAAACAATACAAGCTTGAAAACTTCATGCTTGCTTTTTCACTGTTTGATTCCTAGGATGAGAATGAAACAGAATTTCAGAGTTAGTGACTAAATTTTTACCTCTGAAAATTGGCCTATAATTGCCTATATCCCTCAGCAGCAAGTCTGTGAGATATGACACATATAATATATGGGCTCTATGCTATAGTATTACTGCCAAGTCAGAATTTAGAATTTTTCTGTCAGAATCAAATAATTTTTTAATACTTTATTGCTAGACCAGACATGAATGAGCAAACTTTTTCTATAAAGAACCATATAGTAAATATTTTAGGTTTTACAGGCCATGCATTCTTTTTCATAACTACTCCACTGGACCCTTGTAACATGAAGGTAGACAATATGTACACAGTTTGTGTACATGATATGTACACAATTGTGTACACAAATTCCAAAACAGGCAGTGGGTCAGACTTAGCCCCCAGGCCATAGTGTGCCAACCCCTCTCTGGACCACTGTGTTGTAGGTTTTCAGAGGTTACTCAGGAGGTTTCTCTCCACCTCTCTGCCAAGTCATTCTGTGACTAACATCATCCACAATTCATTTTCCCAGCTCTTATATTTTATTATTTTATTCTCTAGTGTTCTAATTTTCTTTGTTGGGGGGAAAGAGCATAATTGCACCAAATAAAAATAACAGCAAACTAGTATCAGTTATAAAGAGGTAAGAGGGACAAAGAGTAACTTTTAATCAGCTGGTCTCAAGAGCAGTACAGGGCCCTGCACATGGTGAAGCTGAAAAACATATTTGAGAAATGAATACTTTTTCAAACCTTAAACATGGATTAGCACAGAACAGAAGTCCCTGAGAGGGGGAAAATCCAAGTTGAGCTCCTGCTCACTGCCTGGAGAGAGTTCCTTCCGAAGCTGAAGCCCAGGGTGAGGACCCAGGCAGAGCCCAACAATCTCCCTGAGTTGAAAAAAAACAAAAAACAAAAAAAACCCTGGGGTCCTGGGGATGCCAGAGAGGCAAGAGTTTGAAGAGCAGAGCACAGAGAGGTGAGAGCTACCCTGAAAAAGACTTCCAAAGATATCAAGTCTTCAACCAAGTATGATTAGCACATTTGTATGAGTAAACTACTCGACACTTGAGAAAGAACTACCATGAAGGACAAAAAGAAAAAATCCTTTGGGCTAGAAAAGGCTGGGCAAACTCTGTGGGTACACCAGTCATAGTGGAGAACCTGTACTGCAAAGGGCATCAGACAGAGTGCTCAGAAGGGCATCGGCACATCAGAGAAAACAATTTACCCTAGACTAACGGCTGATCTGATCCCATTTACAGCACTGAATAGCAAGCCTCCAGAAAGGATCAAACTGTGTGCAACAACTTAACTATGTCCCAGAGCACCCAACAAGTACTGGGAAATCCAGCAAAATTTTACCAGGCACACAAAGAAACAGGAATTGTTGACACATGATGAGGAAAATCAATCTATTGAAACCCATCCATAGCACAGCTGACATAATTATTAAGTAGGTCATTAAAAGTTATTAAAACCATAATCTGCGTGTTCAAGAACGTAGAGGAAAGATATTTAAAGAAATCCAAATTGAACTTTTAAAGATGTAAACTGCAATGTGAGAGAGGAAAAACTATACTGCAAGGGATGAATAGCACGTTAGACATTGCAGGAAAAAATTAGTAAACTTGAAAACATAGTCACAGAAATTATCCAAAATGAAACACACACACACACACACACACACACACGACCAGTAAAAAACATGAACAGAGCATCATCAAACTGTGTGACAACTTCAAGAAGATCAATTTATGTCCAGTTCCAGTCCCTGAAGGACTAAGGAGGCACAAAAATATTTGAAGAAATAAAGACTGGTCATTTTCCAAATTTGATGAAAACTATAAACCCACATATCCAAGATCAATAAACCCCCAAAATAAGAAATATGAAGGAAATTATGTCAAATATTCATCATAATCAAATTGCTTTAAAAGCAGTAATAAGGGGAACATCTTAAAAGTGACCAGAGAAAAAGACACAAAGTTAAGAATAGAATAAAAGACTTCTCATTCAAAACAGTACAAGCCAGAAGACAGTGGAACAATGACTTTCAGGTACTGAAAAAAATCAACTTATATACTCAGTGATAATGTCTTTCAGAAACACAGGCAACATAAAGACTTTTTCAGACATAGAGAAGCTGAAGGAATTAATCACCAGCAGAATTGCACTGTAAGAAATGCTAAAGTAGAAGGAAAATTATATCAGATAGAATTATGGATCTACACAAAGGAATGAATACCACAGGAAATGGCATATATGTAGATAAATACTCTTTTATTTTTAAATCTCTTTAAAAGATGCTAGTTTAATACAGTCACCTGTTTAACAGTTGTGTTGATTAATATAATAATACTGTATTTTGGGGTTTCTACCTTAAGTGAAAGTAAAATGTATGACAACAGAAGCAGAAAGGAGGAAAGAAGAAGTGTAAATATACTGTTATGTTCTAATACTATAAGCAAAGTGGAATATCAACTGAAGATAATTGTAATAAGTTAAAGATGCATACTATAAGCCCTAAGGTAATCACCAAAAAAACCAAGAGTTATAGCTAATAAACCAATAAAGGTGATAAAGTGGAATAATAAAAATAATCCAAAACATATTACATGTAAATCATATTAAATGTGAATTCATTAATTGCCACAGAGACTGTCCAGATTGAATTTTTAAAAATTAAGACCCAACTCTAGGGACTTCCCTGATGGTCCAGTGGTTAAGACTCCATGCTCCCAATGCAGGGGGCCTGGGTTCAATCCCTGGCCAGGGAACTAGATCCCACATGCATACCACAACTAAGAGTTCACATGCCACAACTAAGGAGCCCACAGCCTCAACTAAGACCCAGCACAACAAAATAAAATAAAATAAAACAAAACAAAATAAAATAAAATCCCAACTCTATGCTGCCTATAAGAAACTCATGCTAAATAAATATACAAATGGATTAAAATTAAAAGGATGGAAAAATATATACTTTGGTAACAGTAATCAAAAGAAAAGTGGGGGCTTCCCTGGTGGCGCAGTGCTCAAGAATCCGCCTGCCAATGCAGGGGACACAGGTTCAAGCCCTGGTCCGGGAAGAGCCCACATGCTGTAGAGCAACTAAGCCCGTGCGCCACAACTACTGAGCCTGCGCTCTAGAGCCTGCGAGCCACAACTACTGAGCCCACGTGCCACAACTACTGAAGCCCACGTGCCTAGAGCCCATGCTCCACAAAAGAGAAGCCACCGCAGTGAGAAGCCCGCATGCTGCAATGAAGAGTAGCCCCCACCCGCCTCAACTAGAGAAAGCCCACGTGCAACAATGAAGACCCACCGCAGCCAAATAAATAAATTAATTAAATTTTTAAGAAAAGACATATTTAACTCAATAAAAAAAAGTCGATGGCTATATTAATATAAGATGAAGAAGAATAAAGAGAGCCATTATGTAATGATAAAAGGATCTATTCATGAAGATGTAACAATTCTAAGCCTTTATACACTGAACAGTACAGATTCAAATTACATGAAGAAAAAAACTGGTATAGCTGCAAGAAGATCTAGACAAATCCACAGTTATCATTCAGAATTTCTACTTTCTTCTCCCAAATCTGGATTTTTAAAATAGTAGCTCACAAGCTAAAACAACAAGATAGCACTGTACCCTGTTAGAATGGCCAAAATCAAAAACACTGACAAATTGTGAGGTAAGGGTGTGTAGCAACAGGAACTCTCATTTGTTGCTGGTGGGAATACAAAACCATACAGCCACTTTGTAAGACAGTTTGGCAATTTCTTACAAAACTAAACATACTCTTACCCTGCAATCCAGCAGTCATGCTTCTTAATATTTACCCACATGAGCTGAAAACTTATATCCACACAAAAACCTGCACATGGATGTTTACAGCAGCTATATTCATAATTGCCACAGCTTGGGAACAACCAAGACATCCTTAAGTAGGTGAATGGATAAATAAACTGTGTTACATCCAAAGAGTGGAGTATTATTCAGCACTAAAAAGAAAAGCTCTCAAACCATGAAAAGACATGGAAGAATCTTAAATGCTTATTACTAAGTGGAAGAGGCCAATCTGAAAAGGCTAGTACAGTGTGACTGCAACTACATGGCATTCTGCAAAAGACAAAACTATGGAGACAGTACAGACATACTTCGTTTTATTACACTTTATCATGCTTCACAGATACTGCATTTTTTAACAAATTGAAGGTTTGAGGCAACCCTGCATCAAGCAAGTTTATCGGCACCTTTTTTCCAACAACATTTGCTCACTTCATGCTGTCACATTTTGGTAATTCTCACAATATTTCAAACTTTTTCATTATTACCAAATTACTATATTTGTTATGGTGATCTGTGATCAGTGATCTTTGATGTTACTGTTGCAAAAAGATTATTATGCTCTGAAGGCTCAGATGGTGGCTAGCATTTTTTTAGCAATAAAGTTTTTTAAATTAAGACAGGAACATTGATTATCTTTTTAGACATAATGCTGTTGCACATTAAATAGAATACAGTATACTGTAAGCATAACTTTTATATGCACTGGGAAACCAAAAAAAATTGTGTGATTCCCTGTGTTGCAGTATTAGCTTTATTGTGGTTGTCTGTAACCAAACACACAACATCTCTGTGGTATGCTTATATGCTTACTTAGTCAGAGTTGCATGTTCATTGATTTATGATCCTACTTTCAGTTTGTGTTTTCATTGTGGCCAGGTGATGCTTTTGCTTCCTAGCAATCTATATCATTTATAATGGTGCTTCACTGTATAGAACTCAGATTTCGAATGAATCTTTGAAGTCATGTGCTTTTCCAGTAATGGGAAGTTCTTTATCTTCCATGTTCAGACAGCTCTGTCAGAAAAGTCTTCCTTAGATTGAGCTACAATTTGTTGTTCACATCGTGGCCCATAAGAGATTTAAAGATAAGCCATGTTCACACAGTTTTC